GCATTGGGGTTTCTCAACCTTTCAGCTGGACGGACTTCCGCTTCCAGAATTCCCCAGCGCCGGTTAGCCCTCTCACTCTGGATTCTGAGGCTGCCTCAGTTTCCCAAGGAGCAGCTGCTACACAGAGACATTTCAAGGTTAAAATGAGCAGAGGGTGGAACGCCCTTCAGCGGAAAGTAGCCTGGAAGGCAGGATAAAAATTGAATAAACAAACGCAGGTTACCGCTGTTCGTTTACTGACCATTCGAAGTGACAGCTGTGACTGAAAAGAGCCGTTTTTCACACCGAACGACCGTTGCAGCATCCCAGTAGTCATGTGATCGGATGCTGGGCAGCTGACCCATATTTATGACAGTCGCAGTGCCCCGAGGGCAGCCTTCCCTTAACGACTTGTGTTCCTAACTTAGCTGCAGTGATTCATTTAACACCTGCGGCCGGAAAAACGAGGCCCCCCCCAAAAAAATTCACTTATCCGATGTCTCGCTTAGCGATAGAAATGTTGGGCTTAATTGCGGTCGTACGTTTGAGGACTCCCTGTGCACATAAATAAAGCAGGTGTGAAGCTAGGTGGAAAAAGAAACTGAACCTGTTGTTAATCCCGTCTGCCTGTATGACAGCTGTCATCTCTTCTGTGGCAGCTTTTAAGATAGGTTTGTTAATCCCCAGTTGCTCCTTTGGATCGAGAAGGAGATGATTTATAGAGATCATATACAATTCCCCCCCCCCAAGTAATCTTCCTGCTTCCGCCCAACTTCAGCGTCAGGAACAGACAGGGCAGGGACGATCTGTCCAGCTGCTATTTGTGAGCTGGCCAGTCTTTAAGAAAGAGCCGAGGTGTTGGGGCCTGCCCTCTTCGATTTTCACAGAACTAGCTGGAACCCAGAACGACTTTTTTTGTGTGTGTGTGGAAGATTTGCTTGTTTGCCTGTCAATCACCAAGAGATCTTTTCCCCATTATCTTCTCTAATCTGTATTTTGAAAGGTGACTGAATCGTTACCGCAGTAGCCGGCATGGAGAAGAGGTTCTGTAAGGTTGAACCCCAGCAAGGTTTAGGTTTTGGAACTGGGATATGGGATGGGCCCGTTCTAAACTGGGTCGTGAGGCCTCACCAGAACTCAAGCTGGAATTAAAAGAATCCGAAAAAGAACAAGTTTTCCAGCATAGCCATCCAGAAGAAAAACTGGCTTTTAAGCTTTGGGAGAAGTTGCAATGGAGTGTGGCTAAGCTCGCTTCAAGCTTAGTGGGTTAGGATCTTGGGTGTTGAGGGGGCAGTTGACAAGTTGAGACTGCATCCTAAGTGGTTTGCTGATGAGAAAGAGAATTTGAGAAGAGACTTAAATCTGCCCTGAGTCTGAAAGCAGGACAAGAAGAAACTAATCGAAGAGAGAAGCAAGCAGGAACTAATGAGGTTTCCATCCATTAGTTTCCACCCATTTCCTGACAGTGAGAACAATTAATTAATCAGCGGAATGCCTCCAGAAGTCGCGGGTCCTCGAACACGGAGGATTTTGAGTTTGAAATGGGACCAGTTTCCTGCTTGAGCAAGGGGTTGGACTAGAAGACCTCCAAGGTCCCTTCCAACTCTTATTATTCCGTCATATTAACTTTAAAAGGAGGGGATCTATTAAAATGTATTCCTAACTACTGTGAAGAAGATTGGAAGTCTTTTTTTTTTTTTTCCCGTTACCTGCACTGTCTTTTTCACTTCTTTTATTTCTTTTCCTTAAGTGGCATCCTAAATGCTTAAGAGACTTTAATAATAGTAAGAATAATAACCCAAGAAAATGGTGCGTGCAGGTCCCACCCTCCTCACGCACAACTCCAACCCCTCACCCACCCCCGTTTCTACCTGCTGAGTTTCTGACAGGGGTCCTCCAGTGAGTTGCTGGTGACTTTCAGGAAGGCCGTGTTCTGATTTCGAGAGAGGTTGCCATGCCAATGATGGGGACGGCCGCCTTCCTCTTCTCCACCCAACCGCAACAAGAGGAAGTAAAATAGAATACCTTTTCTGCCCGTGACTCCCTCTGAAGTTTGGAAGGAGGAAATGAAAGCCGCAGGTGGAACGAATGCAGCTGGTGGCTGGTTAGAAGAAATAATAATAACAATAATTATTATTATTTTTTTAAAAACCACCAAACCAGCTCTGTAGCACCACCAGAGTCCTGTTTTGACCCCGGAGAGCGTGCCTTGCTGGACCAGGCCGAGCAGTCCAGCTTGCAACTTGTTTCCTCGGCCATGTAAGGGAGCCCCGGAGCACGCCAGGTGCCTATTTTAGGAAAATGCGCACGGGTTTGTCATTTCTGCTCCGGTGCCACGGCCTGCGGCTGCCACTTCAGCTGCTGGCTTCTTCTCTTTGAGCAAAGAAAGAAGCATCACAGCCCCTGTAGGTTTCTGACAAAAATTTGTGTTGGGGAGCAGCTGCCACCATGCCAAGCTCGGCTGGATGCCAGTCTCACCCCCTTTCTCTCTCTCTCTCTCTCTCTCTCTCTCTCTCTCTCTCTCTCTCTCTCTCTCTTTCTCCCTCCCTCCCCCCCTCTTCCCTTCTCCCCTGCTACAAAACCTGGCCGGTGCCAAAAGCTTTCAAAGTAAACAACCAAGCAAGGCATCTTATACCTTTTGTCTGTCACAGCGGGCCTAGAGTTTGCAACGGAGCCTCCCGGGGGCTGCAGGGGAGGTTTGAGTGAGGCGAGAAAGGAAGGTTTGGAAGAGGCCAGAACGTTCCACTCCTTTTTGGGGGGGGGGGGGGGGGGCGGGAATGGTGTGATGTGATGAAGCTACGGGGAGCCTTTTGGCAGACCACCCCCCCCCCCCCCCCCCCCCCCCAACCCCGTTTTTAGGGGCCCCCCTTGGGAAAGCGGGGGGTTTTCCGGGGTTTGCCCCCCGGAAAAAAAAAAAAAACCCAGGTGTTTCCAGAAAAGGCTTATCATCTCTGTGGGCCGGTTGTAATGCCAAGATTGCAATGCAGTTGAAAGCTCTTGGGAAGGTTGGGGCAAGTAGGTCACCCTTGGCTGTTGAACAAGGTGTGGGGGCTTGAAGCATTGATCCAGACCTAGAGATCTAGAGCTAGAGATCTAGAGCCTTTCCTGCTCTAAATAGTAGCTACCGTTCTCCTTACGTGCTGGAACTCAAACGGGGCCTGTCCTGCTTGCAGGTAAATGATTTCTGATTTGGAAAGGGACCTTGGAGGTCTTCTAGTCCAGTTACACACACACACACACACACACACACACACACACACACACACACACAC